CTGATGCCCCTTTCTCTCTTGTTCATTCAGATATCTGGGGTCCAAGTCGTACCTTGTCTGTCTTAGGTTTTCGGTATTTCGTTACCTTTATTGATGATTTTTCCCGTTGCACTTGGACCTATTTAATGAAAAATCGTTCTGAGTTATTTTCCATTTATAAAAAGTTTTCTACTGAGATCCATACTCAATTTGGTGTTTCTATTCGTATTCTACGTAGTGATAATGCTAAGGAATATGTTTCTATTGATTTTTCTAAATTCTTGGCCACACAAGGTACTTTACATCAAACTACTTGTCCTCACACTCCACAACAAAATGGGGTGGCTGAACGTAAAAACAGACATCTCATTGAAACTGCCCGTACCCTTCTTATTCATATGCAGGTTCCTCTTCACTTCTGGGAAGATGTTGTACTCATCTCTTGTTTTCTCATCAATCGCATGCCTTCATCTGTGCTCCACAATGACATTCCTCATAATCTATTGCTTCCAGATGTTCCTCTTTATCCTCTAACTCCACATGTCTTTGGTTGTACTTGTTTTGTTCATGATCTCGCTCCTGGTAAGGATAAGTTAACATCCAAAGCCTTTCAGTGTATCTTTCTTGGTTATTCTCGTCTTCAAAAGGGTTATCGTTGTTATTCTCCCGACCTTAAGCGTTACTTAGTTTCCGCTGATGTCACTTTTCTTGATCAACAACCCTTTAATTCTATCCCATCTCAGATGTCACAGGTTGATCATGTACTTCCTGTCCCTTTTCTTGACTTGTCTTTGCCAGCTGCAGGTGCTTCTATTCCAGATGAGCAACCTATTGCTTCTATACCTGAGGACCGTCCACTTCTCACCTATCAGCGTCGCAAAACTGTGCCTCCTGTCGACTCGACTCTTGCTGACTCATCGCCCACTGCTGTTGCTTCTTCCCCTCCGGATCCTTCACCAGAGGCTCTTCCCATTGCTCAAAGAAAAGGTACACGTACTACTCGTAACCCTTATCCTCTTTATACCTTTTTGAGTTATGACCGTCTTTCTTCACCTCATTTCACCTTTGTTTCTAGTCTTTCTTCTATTTCTATTCCTAAGACCACAGGTGAAGCACTTTCTCATCCAGGGTGGCGCCAAGCAATGCTTGATGAGATGACTGCACTTCATTCCAATGGCACTTGGGACCTTGTTTCTGCTCCTCCAGAGAAGTCTATAGTTGGTTGTCGCTGGGTTTTTACTGTGAAAGTTGGACCTGATGGCCATATTGATCGTCTCAAGGCACGTTTAGTTGCCAAGGGTTTTACTCAAATCTTTGGCCTTGATTATAGCGATACATTTTCTCCGGTCGCTAAGATGGCGTCAGTCCGCCTCTTTCTTGCCCTTGCTGCTGTTCGTCACTGGCCACTCCTTCAACTTGACATCAAAAATGCCTTTCTTCATGGTGATTTACAAGAAGAAGTTTACATGGAGCAACCACCTGGTTTTGTTGCTCAGGGGGAGTCTGGAAAGGTGTGTCGTCTTCGGAAATCCTTATATGGTCTCAAGCAGTCTCCTCGAGCATGGTTCAGTCGTTTCAGTTCTGTTGTTCAGGCGTTTGGCTTAATCCGCAGTAAAGTTGATCATTCTGTGTTTTATAGGATTACATCTCCTGATAAGTGTATCTATTTGTTAGTCTATGTTGACGACATCATTCTCACCGGAAGTGATCAAGACGGAATTCGTCAGTTAAAACAACATTTGTTTAGTACATTTCAAACAAAGGACCTTGGGAAGCTGCGTTACTTCTTGGGAATTGAGGTGGCGCAATCAAGACAGGGCATTTCTATCTGTCAAAGGAAATATGCCTTGGATATCCTAGAAGAAACTGGTATGTTGGGGAGTAAACTTGTTGATACACCTATGGATCCTAATGTCAAGTTATTACCCGGACATGGGGAGCCGTTATCTGATCCTGGACGTTATCGGAGGCTAATTGGGAAGCTCAATTATCTTACTGTGACTAGGCCAGATATTTCTTTCGCTGTCAATACGGCCAGTCAGTTCCTTGATTCCCCTTGTGATTCACATTGGGATGCTGCTGTGAGGATCCTCCGATACATCAAAGGAGCACCAGGAAAAGGTTTGTTGTATTCGGATCAGGGAAATACAGAAATTTGTGGTTACTCAGATGCCGATTGGGCAGGATCACCCTCGGACAGACGCTCTACTTCTGGTTATTGTGTCTTCTTCGGAGGAAACTTAATCTCATGGAAAAGCAAGAAACAACCTGTTGTTTCCCGATCTAGTGCAGAAGCTGAGTATCGTGCAATGGCAAATACTACCTGTGAGTTGATCTGGTTAAAGCAGTTGATTCAGGAGCTTCATCTTTGTGAACAGAAACAACCCATGACACTCATCTGTGATAATCAAGCTGCGCTACATATATCCTCTAATCCTGTTTTTCATTAGAGGACCAAACATATAGAGATTGATTGTCACTTCATTCGGGAAAAGATTCAGTCAGGAGAAATCAAGACAGCTTTTGTCAACTCGTCTAATCAACTAGCAGATGTTTTCACTAAAGCTCTTAGAGGTCCTCGGGTTGAATACATTTGTAACAAGCTTGGTGCTCATAATATATACGCACCAGCTTGAGGGGGAGTGTTAGAATATTAGATATGATATGATTAGATTTGATTAGATATGATTGGATTCTGTCTTATCCGTAAATAGTCTGACTGTATTCTGACTGTATTAGGATTAGGTTTGGATTAGGTTTGGGCCTTACACTTAAGCCCATTAGGGTCTCTATATATTGTAACTCCTTGACACAGATCAATACACAACGTATTCTTTTACATTTATCCAAAGGAGCACCGGGAAAAGGTTTGTTGTATTCAGATCAGGGAAATACAAAAATTTGTGGTTATTCAGATGCTGATTGGGCAGGATCACCCTCAGTCAGACACTCTACTTCTGGCTATTGTGTCTTCTTTGGAGGAAACTTAATTTCTTGGAAGAGCAAGAAACAACCTGTTGTTGCTCGGTCTAGTGCAGAAGCTGAGTATCGTGCAATGACAATTACTACATGTGAGTTAATCTGGTTAAAACAGTTGATTCAGGAGCTTCGTCTTTGTGAACAGAAACAACCCATGACACTCATTTGTGATAATCAAGCTGCGCTACATATATCCTCTAATCCTGTATTTCATGAGAGAACCAAACATATAGAGATTGATTGTCACTTCATTTGAGAAAGGATTCAGTCAGGAGAAATCAAGACAGCTTTTGTCAACTCTAATGATCAACTAGCGGATGTCTTCACTAAAGCTCTTAGAGGTCCTCGGGTTGAATTCATTTGTAGCAAGCTTGGTGCTCACAATATATAGGCGGAGTGTTAGATTAGATATGATTAGATTACTTCCTATTTGTAAATATTCCTTTTGATTAGTTCAGGGCTTTTCCCCTTCATTTCCCCCACTTCTTCTTGTCCCTTTCTTTTTTACTTTTATTTATTTTTATATACATATATTGTTATTTTATTTTATCTTATTTTATATTTTTATTTTATTTGTTTATTTTTATTTATTTATTTATTTATTTTTATTTTTAATTTTTTTTTTTATTTTTTTTTTATTTTTTTTTTATTTTTTTTATTTTATTTTATTATTATTATTATTATTTTTTTTTTTTTATTTATTTTTTTTTTTATTTTTTAACTTTTTTTCAACCATTTTGTATCTTTCATGTGGGTTCATCTACCACCGACCCCAATTGATTTGGGATAAAGGTGTTGTTGATGTTGATTAGTTCAGGGCTTCTCACTTAAGCTCATTAGGGTCTTTATATATTGTAACTCTTTGTATCAGATTAATACACAACATATTATTTTCTAGTGGTATTAGAGCCTCGTGTCCCCGGTTCGATCCTCACCGCCCTCCACTTTTTTTCTAGTGGAATTTCTTTCTTCGCACAGGTAGGTGAGCCTGTGCATTGTCCACCCTTCAAGCCCAATGGGCTCTCGTGTAAGGGGGCGTGTTGAGATATATAAAACCATTAATGTAGCTTCACCCAACAACTTAAGCTTTTGGATTGAATTGGTTCTTTACAATTTTCTCTTTTATTCCTTCTCTACCTTGATCCTGATAATTTCAATGGTTACTAACACCCAAAATTCATCCTATAATGGTTACTTTTTTATCTTCAAATTGGCATTAGAGCGGATTTCAACTCGTCTCTCCCAACAAACGTTACACCCACTACGCTTAGAGGCAAATATCCCAAATCTGTTGTGCTCATTGCCCAACTGTCCTCGTTGTAGAATAGGGAATTTTTAATTGCTCGAGGATATCCTAAACACCACCTTCTATTTTTGCATGATTGACAATCTCTAATAATAGGAAACTAGATGCTCTTCGTCAGCAAATTGTGTTCTTTTTGGAGGAAACTTGATCTCGTGAAAAAACAAGAAGCAAATTGTAGTTGGCAGATCAAATGCATAGATTGATTATCGAGCAATGGAACTATGGAACTGCTATTTTTGAGCTCATTCAGTTAAAACAGTTGCTCAAATTATTGAATGTTTGTGAACCACAACCAATGAAACTCGTGTGACAATCAATCCACACTTCATATATCTTCAAATCTTGTCTTTCATGAAAATACTAAGCATATTAAGATTGATTATCACTTTGTTTAGGAGAAACTTTATTCTAGGGAAATTGCAACAGCATTTGTGAACTCCAATGATCAATTAATAGATATTTCATTGAGGCTCTTAGAGCTCCTTGAGTCAACTATATATGTGACAAACTTGACACATGATATATACATATTAGCTTGAGGGGGAGTGCTAGAATATCTACGGTAGTATATTATGTATATGTTGTAAAATAAGTGAGGAACCAAATTAAGATTATGTATATCCGGGATAGAATAATTGTAATTAGTGTTAACATTAATATGAACTTCAAATGTTATCATATGAAAAACTTGATTTGCTACTCACGTTTTTTTTTTTCTGCAATTGCATCTTATTAGGGTAAAAAAGAACGTGATCAGTGCTACAAGCCTATACTTGAAGAGCTTGATATCCTGTTCCCTAATCGCAGTAAAGAGAGGTAGACCTTACTAGTATTGATTCCAGCAGAAAGTTCTCATTTGGGTTGAAGATTGTTTGCACAATTTGTTTTGCACTAAAAGTAAAAAATTTCTCAAACAGTCCACCTGCCTGTTTAGTTCCGGGTGCTGGACTTGGTCGGCTGGCTTTGGAGATTTCATGTTTAGGTATGTTTGCATTACCAGGCATTACATAGGAGTAATGCATAGATATACTTTTATTATAGCTAATACATCATATTATGGTGCAGGATTTATCAGTCAGGGAAATGAATTTTCATACTACATGATGATATGCTCAAGTTTTATTCTTAACCAGTAAGAATAAGGGTTGTCTCTTTCATGTTGATATTGTTAATGTGACAAATAATTACTTGTTAATCTTAATCTTTTCTCTTTTTGTGCTTAATCAATTGACTTGATGGATCATTTAAGTTCCCAAACTGCTGGTGAGTGGACGATATATCCTTGGATTCACAGCAATTGCAATTCACTGTCAGATAGTGACCAACTTCGTCCTGTTTCAGTCCCAGATATTCATCCAGCCAGGTACATACATCGGTTCTTTTAATAAAAGAAAATTTATTGGAAGGAAAGAAGGGATACATAAAGGGAATGATAATGAGTTCCTCCTTAGGAAAGTCAACGAAGAAATAAAACAGCACTGAACGATTAATGTAAAAAAGCTTCTTCTCCCTTTGCAAGTCTCCCAAAGAGACTCCACGAAACTTTTGTCTTTTGAGCACCTTACCGAGGCCAAGAAAACCACCTTTCTCAATCACGCTCAAAGGGAAGATATCTTTCTTTAGAAACTTGAGCATTCCTTTCTATTTAAAGACACCAAATGACAGCAATATTAGCCAGATTATATTTAGGGTTTAGGCAGATTATTTTAAGGATTTGAGTTTATTCTTTTAGGCCCATTAGTTTTTCTAAATATTTCACCTTTCAAGTTGGTACTAAGGATTAGATATTGATGACTTGCGGCCAGCCTACTTCTAAATCTCTAATTTGGCTTCATGATAAGCGTCTAGGGCACCCTTTATTTAGTCTATTTAAGTCTATGTTTCCTTCTTTATTTATGTTTCATTTTGTTGAGTCTTTTCATTATGATGTTTGTGAGTTTGCAAAATATTATTGTGTACCTTTTCCTTATAGTGCAATAAAAAGTATTGAACGTCTTGCTATTATTTATTCTGATATTTGGGGTCCTTTTAAGGTTCCTAATATTTTTTGTGTTAAGTGGTTTGTTTTTTTTATTGATGATTATACTCGGGTAACTGAGATGTTTTTTATAAAAGACAAGGCAGGGGTATCGTACTGTTCATCTAATCTTATCATATGATTGAGACACAATTTGGAAAAAATATCAAACATTTCAGATCGGACAATGGTATAGAGTTTGTCAACCAACGCTTCTCTCAATTTATTAAAGAGAAAGGAATGGTTTATGAACTTACTTATGCGGACACCTCCAACAGAATGGAGTTACTGAGCGAAAGAATCGCCGTTTACTTGAAGTCACCAGAGTATTACTCTTTCAGACATTTGTACCCAACTCTTATTGGGAGAAGCCGTGCTAACTGCAGCCTATCTAATCAACAGCTTACCCTTTTGAGTTCTTGACCATGTAAGTCCTATTCATTCCATTTCTTGACCATGTAAGTCTTATTCATTCCATGATCTTTTTCTTTCCTTCTGCTCCAGTTATGCAGAAGTCTTCAGTCTAGTTTTTTGGTATATTGCCTTCGTCCATATTCATAAATATCGGATTAGATTGGACTCTGAATCCCTTAAATGTATCTTCCTTGGCTATGCTCCCAACAAATAGGGGTACAAATGCTATCATTTTCCAAGTCGTAAGTTTTTTTTATCTCCGTGGATGTCACTTTCCATGAATCTGAATCATTTTTCCCTCATCCTCATCTTGAGGGAAGAACAATTCAGAAGCTTCGTTCATTTATTCCTTTGAGTCTGAGCCTCCCTTATCATTACCCATACCTCATGAGTCAGTCCCTGTTTCCCAGGACGCTCTAGAATCTAATAACAAGCAAGAAGACTTAGTTGATGAGGCAAATAGTTCATTGGTACTTCAAATGAGATGTCCCTTATCAATCGAAAGAAGTTATGGAAGGGTGGGACACCCAAACTACCATATCAAAGGTAGAAGCAGCCCATACTGCCCCACCAGCATACTGTAACTTAATAAAAGGGCTAAACAACTTCATATATACAAGTAATCGAATGAGAAGAAAATTTACAAAACTAAAAGAACTAAACAACCTCATACTGTAACTTAAGCCACTAAAACAGTGATATCATCTTTTTTTTCCTCCCACATGATTACGTCATTTCCTCTGAGAAGCATCTTGAAAAGGGGTTCGATAATCTTTGAACATGGAAAAGAATAGAGCAACATCTTCTATATGCTCAGTCAAATCATTGATTTCCAATATTCCTTCTGTCCACCTCAGAATTTCTTCAATACCATCAACATACAAATTATCAAAAAGGCCATCACTTCCTAACACTAGAATATCCCCTACCTCTACTGAAGTCTGATACTCAATTGGAGAGTCAGGGCGATCACTAATCTCACTATTTTCTATAATATCCCTAACCTGTTTAATTAGAAAATTGCATGTGATTAAGTAATTAATCATGCATTATTGGGTTGAATTAGGTAAAATATCTAATTAAATGAATTAAGGTTACTTTTGAGGTAAAAAGTGCAGTCAGTGAAAATTATGGGGTGAAAATGTGAGTAGGAAAAATTACCCGGAATGTAAAAGTAAAGTTAAAAATATGACTAGAAAAATATTCTATTCACTAGGTAAAGTTTGGTAGTGAATGAAGGTGAGTAGATATATAAGCTTTTACCCAGCTGAAATAACTAACATATGCTAAGTAGCAAAACACAAACCAAATCTCATTCTTCCTTCTTCTTCCTCGTGGGTGCAGCGCTTGAGAGAGAGAGAAAGACATTTGAAGACCAAACCCTAACTTTCCCAATCCTTAACCAAATCAACCTGTTTCAAAGCCAAAACCACTTAGAATCTTCCCCTCATTGTGAATCCTACATTGGTTTTGAGTGGGAATCCTTGTGGGTAGAGATATCTCCTTCCAAAGATTTCGAAAATTTGAGAGGAATTGGAGTTTTGGGGGTGTTTTAAGAGCAAGGGAGCTTGGGGTTCACTTCTATGAGTATTCTATGAATATAGGTGGTAAGTTTTCCTCACTCAAACATGATTTTCATATGTTTTCATGGATGCTAGGTTTTGAGGTGAATAGTGCCACGAGGTGAATAGAACCAATTCAAGAACCGAACTGATTTTTGGAAACTAGTTCAAGAACCGAACCGTTTTATTTATTTATTTCTTTAATTTTTATGTATTTATTTTTTTTCTTTTCAAAATAGGTTCGACCCGAATCGGTTTCAAACCGAACCTAATCGGTTTCAAACCGAATCGTTTAAACCAATTCGGTTCAGTTCTTCAAAAATTCAATTCAATTCGACTCATGCACACTCCTAGTTCCCAAGCTTGATATTATAAATACTGTCAACTTACCCATTTCTCTATGAAAAAGGAAAAGACCTTGTACTCAATACATTATTTTTCATTATGTCTCTTCTAAGAACCTTTTTGCATAGTATAGAAGCTTTATTTCAAGACTTGATTCCTTTTCAATTCCAACATCAGTGCATGAAGCATTAAAAGATGAAAATTGGGTTCAAGCCATACGAGAGAATTTATTGTGGTCCGGGACCACCATTTTTTAGGTGGTCCCTTAGTGTAAATGGAAGGGTAAAATTGGAAAAGAAAAAAAATAACAGGGGTAAAATGGGAAAGAAAAAATTAGTGTTGTGAGAGGGAGCACCAAATCATTAGGTGGCCCTGAAGCATATAAAATATTTCCCAAGCCATACATGTTGAGCCGTGCCTTGGAGAAAAATAAAATATAGGAAATTGTTGACAGGCCAAATGGGAAGAAAGCAATGGGGTATAAATGAGTTTATACATTGAAATATAATTCTGACGTTACTCTTGAGAGTTATAAAGCTAAGGGTTACAAACAGGCCTATGACATTAATTACGAGGAAAAATTTGCTGTGATAGCCAAAATGAACATTGTGAAAGCTCTATTGCCCCTTGCTGCTCACTATAATTGGGGCTTGAATGAATTTGATGTGAAGAATGCATTCCTCAATGGCAAGCCAGGAGAGGACGTTTATATAGAGATCTCACCAGGATTTGATTCCAGAGATGGAGAAAACAAAGTTTGCAAGTTGAAGAAAGCCTTATATGAAGCAATCTTCACATGTTTGGTTTGGACATTATTATCACAGGGGATGATATTGTTGAAAAACGTGTTCTGCAAGAGAAATTAACTAGTGAATTTGAAGCCAAAGATCTTGGGAAGTTTAGATATTTCCTTGGGATTGAGATAGCCCATTCACGTGAAGGTATCTTTATCTATAAGAGAAAGTATATCCTTGATTTTCATAAAGAAGCGGGAAACTTTAAGTGTAAATCTTCTAGTACCCCAATTGAGCAAAATCACAAATCAGGGAAAGAAGATAAGAGTCCTTCAGTTAACAAAGGACAATACCAACGACGGGTAGGAAGATTGATATATTTTGCTCATATTAGACCTGATCTAGCTAATGCGGTTAATATTGTCAGTTAGTTCATGCATAACCCAAGGAGAAACACATGCACGCAATAGATATAATTCTCCAGTACCTTAAGGCCACTCCAGGCAGAGGACTACTATTCCGGAGAGCAAATCTATCCTTGGAAGTATGTATTGATGTCAATTATGCTGGGTTCGTCATGGAACATCGGTCAACCTCCATCTATTGTATGTTCCTATATTAAAACCTAGTAACATGGAGAAGTAAAAAACAGTATGTGGTTGTCAGATCAAGTGCTAAGACGTAATTTCAAGCCATGGCCCAAGACATTTGTGAATTGCAAAAGATTATTCTAGAGGATTTAGGCCAATTAGTTTTTCCATAAATATTTGTAACCCTGTACATGATTTCTCAAGTTAATAATATATCAATTTTCATCTTTTGAAGTTATACTGATGTTGATTATGCTAGGTTCGTGATGGATCGACAGTAAATTATTCCCTTTATTAGTCAGATTATGTTTAGGATTTAGGCGGATTATTTTAGGATTTGAGTTTATTCTTTTAGGCCCATTAGTGTTCTGGCCGATCCAATTGGCTAGCCCAATAACACTGGCCCAATACCAGAGGGCCTATACTACCTCTGCTGCACCACACCCAATAACATCAGTGCTGCCATACCAGCACCCCTTTGGCGGACTTCCCAACGTAAGACATCAAAATGTCTTACTTGGGATATCCTCCCCTCCCATTTGTCTGCATAGACTCCAAAATGTCCCCCTTTTTATGCCTTCCTCTTCACAGCAGCCGCTGTAGTGCTGACAGTGGCTGCAAAGCGCCTTGCCCAAGCAAGGCATACTGCTATGGCTCTTCCCCCATAATAGTTGACTTGGCTCATTTCCCCGCTGGGATAGAGCCCAACCCTAACTATAAATACTCCCTCATTCTCCACCATGCACACACACAATATCACTACTTGTATGAGTTGTTACTCTGTCAACTTGAAAAGCTATTGTAGCCATTCATCACCACCCCCTATTGTTACACACTACACCTGGGATCTCATAGCATAGTCTTGGTCCATACTATTGCTATCTAGGACCCCCCTTAGAACGATTCTCACACCCTTTTGGGGTTACATACGTGGCTCTTCGCCACACTAACAGTTCAATTAGTTTTTCTATAAATATTATAACCATCTACATGTTTTCTCAAGTGAATAATATTCCAGTTTTTCACCTTTCATGTAATACTGTTACATTCTCCTCTGCGATTATATTCTTCCCGTCGTATGAAATTTCTTATGCTTAAAATATATCCTTCTACATATTGATTAACTTGGACAGATACAAACTTCGCTTTAGTCCGACTAGCTACCCCAGTTAAACATTTTTTGCTAGTGAGGAATTGGAAATGAGTCAAATGACTACGCTATAATAATGTTCAATAGTTGCTGTTGGTTAAGTTATTTGATTATCTTGTTCCTTTATTAGGCTCAAAAGCAATACCTATTCCAATAATGTGTTCCCATACTCAGATACAAAAAATGGAGACATGAGCATCTTGTAAAAATATAAATATCAGTGTATTTTTTTGTATGATATATCTTGTAATAATAACATTGTTGGTTACAATGTACTGGAGCAGTGCAGGAATTACTGAAGGCTTTTCCATGTGTGGAGGTGACTTTGTTGAAGTCTACAGTGATACAAGCCAAGTAGGTAGGAGAAATTATCTACAACTATATTTGTTTCTGATTTGTGATATTATAGCAGTGGCTTTTACAGTAAACTTGAAGTAAGTGTTCTGGTTCTAATACCTTACGTGTTAGCTTTATGCTTTGTTGATTCTTCATGTTAAATTAAGCAAAACAGGGCCGTTGCAACATTTGAATTAAGGACACTTGCTTTGCAACCATAATTAGAAAAATGAGCTTCTATAGATGCTTGAGCTTGTAGATTCAATGAGTTGATGACTCCTAATAAAAAAAAAAATCTACTTTTAACCTATAGTAGTACTTTTGTAATATATAATTGGATGGTTGCCACTTTTTAATGTATACATCTTGAGTTAACCTCTACTGCATCATGTATTTGCAGAATATGGATTAAATTTTCATGTTGCTTTTATGTAATTCTAATATATTGTCCTAGGAAAATAAAATAAAACTATTTATAGCTGCCTTTAAAATTTCCATATGGAACTTGTTGGTAATATAAATATTATCTCGATTTGTTAACATCTAGATTCATTTATAGGCTAAGGGTATCTAGTATCTTTGTAATCATTGTTTTTTATCTATATAATTTAGTTTCTTCTGTGTAGTCCAACACACTTATTTCACTAAATATCTCTCGTTTCCTCTTTCTTTAAAATCTTAATTAACAATTTTTTATTTTTTATTTTTGGATTTTGCTAAAATGGTTCAAATTTGAACCCTGTCAGCTAGGGTTTGAACAGAGGCTGATAGCTACATAGTTCCGTGGTCAATTGTTAGACATTAAGTTTTTAAATACAACAGAGGGAACATGGCACATGGATCACCCCTCTGTTGTATGGATATACTAGCAAAATGTTATTTTATCTTGCATGAATTGAACTTGACATTCTAATTCCAACTCTACACATCTATATCTAATTATCTATAATAAATGCGATATTACACCCCATCCCTATTTTAATTTCTAATGGAGCTTAGAATGGCCATGCAGGTGCATGGGATGTCGTTGTGACTTGTTTCTTTATCGATACTGCTCACAATATTGTTGAGTATATTGAAATAATTTCACAAATTTTGAAAGATGGGGGAGTAAGTTCCTGAATCCGAAATTCCAAATAGATATCGTGTTTCTCTCTTCTTTCTTACGCTTCAATGTTTACTCTTTGCTTGTTGACAGTCTCATTTCAATATTTTCCTTCATACTTGGTGACATTGACACCATGACAGGTTTGGATAAATTTTGGCCCTCTACTTTATCACTTTGCAGATATGTATGGACAAGGAGACGTAAGACACTCTTCTTTACACATAAATATTTTGTCACATGCTTGGTGTGTTTTATCTCACACTAAAATTTGTCTATAGGAAATGTCCATCGAATTGAGTTTGGAAGATGTTAAAAAGATTGCATTGCATTATGGATTTGAATTTGAGGTAATCTCATCTGACTTGGATTATGCCCCTTCTATTTATGCAATGACTAATCATATTTACATTATCTTGTCATGGAGTTCAGAAAGAAAGGACCATTGAGACAACCTACACCACAAATCCTAGATCAATGATGCAAGTAAGCTTCTAACTGCACACAAGTGTTCCTCCACCTCCACCCTGCTCCTTTTTCTTTTCTTTCCTTATGCATCTACAGTCTAGCTAATCCTGTTAAATCCCTAGCATACATGTGTTATTTGTTTTTATTTGGTTGTTTCAATTTTGAAATTCCAAACTGCTTTGTCAAAATATGGCTATTTATATTGGTTATTCTGCATACTAATGTGTGTATATATATTTGGGTCTTATAAAAATTGATAAAACCAATGAAGTTTCATTCAGTAGTTACATATTAATGATGCTCAATTAGGGTCAACAACATGTTCCATTTGGGTGATGCTCAATTAGGACCAACAAAATTTGATTGTGTGGACATTCTTGCAATCCATTGGAATCATAGAAAATCATTAACACTGAATCTAATGAAAGCATTTGTTTGAATTTGCTAAACTCGTTATGATCCCTCTTTGCAGAATCGTTACTTTGCTGCATTTTGGACAATGAGAAAAAAGTCTGCAGCAGTGCCGCAGCAAGTGCCCTGAGAATGGGGGATACGATTATTGTGATATAAATTATAAACTATTTCCTTTTTACTTGTCAGGCTTTGTATTTTTATTTTCTGGAGTGTAGAATATTCTTGTATTAATTAAATCATGACAATTGGTTATCATTGAAAAGTTGAATTTGATGCATTTGGTTAAATTATGCAACATTGTGAATATTTCTTACAATGAGATGCATGTCAAATAATGTATGCATTCTTAGATACATGTCCCTTTCCTTGCAATGGCACAAGCAGGAGTTTAATTATCTAACAGATGCCCTTGTAATTGTTATTTTATGTATTTTTTTTTGTATTTTTTTGTTTTGAAAGCAAAACTAGGGTTTTCTTTTCCTAAATTCGTTTGATAAGCGTGGAAGCTTCCAGTAAATATCACAATTATAATAAGGCTTATATTTGCTAGAACATATAAAACAAGATTATTTTAACAATCTGTTCGATTTGTTTTAATTTTTTTTTAATACTATCACCTAATCCGAATAAACCCATCAATAAACAATTTGATAAAAGAAGTTTCTCAACCTACTTTGATTCAATTTGATTAAATTTAATTAGTTTAGTTTTTTATTTTTACTTAAAATCAATTCAAATCAAGATTAATCATATTTCAAATGTTTTTATATCTTTCTTTTTTCTGATATAATACGCGCTAAGGTTTGAACTAGGGGTGAAATTGGGCTGGGCCGACTTATAGGGGCCTACGGCTCGGTTTACGTCAGGCCATACCTGATCTAGTATATTTTGTAAAATAGACAAGGTTTGGGTATTAAAAATGCTTGTTTAATAAAAAGGCCGTAGGTAAAGAAAGTCTGGCCTATAAGCCTACAGTATAATAGCTTTAGCCTAATTAATTAGTAAATTAAATGCGATTAGATAATTAAGCATGTATTATTGAGTAAAATTAAGTATAGGACCTAATTAAGTGAATTGGGGTCAATTTTGAGGTAAAAAGTGTACTCAGTGAAAATTAAGGGATATAAATGGGTGTAGGCAAAAGCACTCAAAATATAAAAATGAAAGTGGAAATATTCTTAGAAAAATATTCTCGACCTTTGGGTAAAGTTTGGTGGTGAATGGAGTTGAATAGATAGATGAGTTAATACCCACTTGACTCCACTTAACTTATGTTAAGTGACTAGCAACCAAAAAGAAACCCATTTCCCTTCCCAAACCCGTCGAGTTCCAGAGAAAAGAGAAAGGAAGAGAGAATAGAGAGGGAAAGACTCCATTGATGACCCAATAACCTAGCTTCCTCATTTGGTGTCCAAATCAACTAATTCGAAAACCTAAACCACTTCAAATCTTCCTCCCATCCTTAATCCAAGCTTGGTTTCTTGTGGGAAGCATTGTGGAGTGGGATTCTCCTTGCTTTTGGGGCGAAAATTTGGGGTTTTGAGGAGATTGAAAGTGATTCTTTCCATGGGAGCTTAGGAGGTCAAAATCCCTTGGTTGTACACCCAATTTTGGTAAGATTCTTCTCCTTGAACTCTATTTTCATGAATTTAGGTTTTGATGAATAGTGTTTTAGGGTTTTATGATAATGTGAGTAGATTGGCTATGTTCTAAGAAGAATGAGGCTTAGTGTATGTTGTGAAAAATGCTTAAGTTTGGACTTTCTTGCATTAGAAATCAATAGTGTGGTTTGGTTGAATATTGATGGTGTCCATATTATGTCTAGGATTAAGGCATTTGGACCAACCTTGAGTGACCAACCATTGGAGCAAGCTATGGAGCTTGATTAGCTCATTGGAATAGGTAAGCTCATGCTAATTGATAGTGTAGAGTTGTTGTGGTATTGATGGATATACAAATATTCATTTGATGGCGTGATTGATGTTGTGACACCTTGGTGTAGGTGTGTACTTTACAAGTTATAGTTTGAAATCAAAGTTGACTGGTTGTAGAACTTGTTGGTGGAGAACAAAGGTTGAACTGAAGCTTTGAGGTAAGCCTTCGGACCTTGGGTGTAAATCCCTTTACTGTTCCACCAAGCCCTGAATGGGTAGTGGTTGTTGATAGTGTATGTAAATACAATAAAATAGTTTAATGCTTGTTTATACGTATGTGTATGTTTTTGGTGTGGCATAGGATGGTGTTTCCCTATGTTGGTATGTTGCATGACGATGCGTAATTCATACTTGGTAGTTTAGCTGGCCAATAGGACTATTTGCATCTGAGTATCCTTAGGACAGCTTGAGAGCTCGAGGGATTTCTCCTGGAGATGTTTGTTACACACTGCATGGATATGTATTTATTGCATTATTATTGTTACTGCTATTACACTGATATTGAACTATGGGGTGGAGAGATGCTCCAAGGACCCCTGGTTTACTTTGGTATATTCGTATATCTCACCCCGTGTTGTGGGGACCCCTTTCAGGAAAGGATGCTGCAAGAGCCTCTGGTGGCAAGTGGCCATATATGAATTAGTAGATGCATGAAGATGTTGCATTCTTTTGGGTTATACATGACATGTAGTAGTACCATGTATATGAATTACATTTGAAAGCTAATTGCTATATGTATGTCATGTTTTATTTGGATGGACTTAGCCTATGCTCATCTCCTTTGGTATCTCTTTTGTTGATGGGAGCCAAGGAGTTGATCATAGTGTTTTGTAGCTAAGTCCCATGATTTGTAATTAGGACATGTTGCAATGATGTAATGTTGTAATTATTGGATATGTATATTTATGATGAAAGGGTATGCATGCTTCTCTTAGTGTATGAGTGCCTAGAAAGAACTAGGAATCATTTATTGAAATGATTATATGTTGTCAATTAGGTGAAAGAAGATCTTTAGGTTGAAAATCCATGTAAAAATAAAGATATCATGTCTTGTTGTCAAATTTTCATATCCTATATGATAGATTGGGATCCTTGGGTCTTAATGGAAGTTGTAGATATTTTTCTTAGCTTTCCAACGAGACCAAAATTGAGTCAATCAGACAAGTAACAACTCTAGTTAGAGGTAAAATACTAAGGCTTGGTGTAATCTTCAGAACCTTGGCGCACTTGGCGCCGTGGTTGGTGCAAACCGCGCCAAGACACAGTGGGAAAACACCAGCTAGCGCACTTGGCTCAAACCTTGGCGCACATCACGCCATTTTGCTCGAAAGCTTCTGTTTCTTGGCGCAAATCGCGCCATAGTTATGGAAAGCTTCTGTTTCCTGGCGCAAATCGCGCCGAGACCTGTAGGTTCAACACTCGTTTTGTAGAAAATTCATAACTTGGGCTACGGTGCTCCGATTTGAGTGCGGTTTGAACTTACGCGTAGATAACGAAGAGATCTATAACATAGTATGAGATGAGAACTATAAAGTAAGTATAGAAATTCCAATTTAATAAAAAGTGAAGAGAGTCTAGTATTGAACTCGAACAAAATAATGATATGATGTTAAGTTTAGTTTGGATTATTCCGCAAAGTATAAGGTTATGGTCACGCAATTGGTTATTTCAAGTTCGGCGTTGTTAAAAAGGAAAAACAAGTAAGTTTTAAAAAGGAAAACAAAAACCAAAAAAATTATCCGAGTTTTTAATTGAACCAATGTGATTGTAACTGCGCTTAATATCATAAAGCAATGTTAACAAACCGTTTCTAGAACGGGGTGTTACATACAGGCCGGCTTATATTATACTATTTATTTTAAATAAAATAAAATAGAATAAGTATGCCTTAAAGAAAAAATAAAAGATATAAATTTAATCAATTGTAATTATTTATAACTTAATTATATTCGATTATATTTTAATAGAAATCTAACTTTATTTCTCATGTAGGAAGAACTAACATCTTAGCATGTTAGATTGTATATATGAATATATTAAAAAGTTTTTAGGAGAGGTTATACTTATTACAAGCATCATGATGTGTTTGTTGGATTCATGTGACTATTTTAATTTACATAGTATGGATTCGTTTGTTGGGTCTGATGAAATATATGTTATTTAGTTTGAGCATTTTGCTTTTGAAAGTGACTTAAATGCAGATTGTATGAGTTTTGTTGTGATTCATGATTCTGTTTGGACGTTGAAATTATGATTTTCGATTTAGCAACAGAATTTGAGTATTTTGTAAAGTTGATTCATGATTCTATTTGAAAGTTAAAAATTAACAGGCTAACGGGCAAGGCCAGACCATTTTTTTTTTTTTTTTATATAAATGGGTCAAGCCAGTCTAACTGTTAGACTCGTACTAGGCTTGGGCCAGGTCAAATTGAAAATTTTTGGCGTAGGCTTGGCCTTTTCGGGGCAAAGCTTGGCCCAATCTAGCCATCTTTCACCCCTAGTTTGAACCTATAAATTCATACAGATTATCCAAATCCCTTATTATTAGACTAATCCTAGTAACTTTGTTTTTAACTCATTTTGATAATTTGTATTGGGAGGAAAAAATTAAAGAAAAGAACGAGATCCTTGCACATGATTTACTAAAAATGTTAAAACTTAATTTGATGTTAGGTTTGTTTTCCTTTATATTTTTTGGAGTTCTTTAATCATATAATTCATGATGATATATTTAAGTAATCTTAACAAAAACTATAAATATAAATAATTTAATTTTTATCCATATTTTTTTATATAAATTTAATATTATTTTTCGTGTTTCGAATTCAGAATATAACGAAGAACATTGTTGTAAATAATCATTTATTACCTTTATTTTTCAATTGCAAGAAACATCTAGTTTAGAACTTTTCTAAAACCACAACCGTCATATTCAAAAAAGGTGGCTTAAGTGTAACTGAGTTTAGTCAATAAGAGATCTATGTAATATTAGGAGTTCAAGCGCACAAAAAATTTGTGGCATATTATAATTTAAATAGCCATGTCAAAGATAAAATTCAAGGAGTGATAGTTGAATGGATGCATAATCTAAATTCAATATTCCATCTAATTTCATTTCAGGTGACTCTTCGGCCCATTACACCAAATGATGTACTATATAACGTTGCATCCTTGCTACAAAAGTATGTTAAACCCAAAGCCCTAGCAAGCCCATAAATGCACTCCCATTCCTATTTATCTTGTATCAATAAATCCATGTATAAAAAACAAGTTTGCAAATTGTGAAAGTTTATAGCTATGGATTATGGATCTATATGATTCTATCTCATGGTCATAGATTATGCAGGTAAATATAATGTTGACGAAGGAATAAAAAATGTTAGCTAGTTCTGC